GCATGGGATGCGAAGAGGTGGTGAATATGAAGGGGAAGTAAGAATGATTGGGAAATGATCGCTGTCATGTAAGTCCGGAAGAATAGACCAAGTGAAGTCTAATGCGGCGGAGGAAGAGCAGACTGAGAGATCGATGCAAGAGAGAGTGTGAGTCCGAGGATCAAAATGGGTGCGAGTACCTGTATTTAAAACATGGAGGGGGTGGATGGCAAGAAAAGCCTCTAAGTGAATGCCACGGGAATCACAGTGAGACCCCCCCCAGAGGAAATGGTGGGCATTAAAATCAACAAGTAACAGAATCGGTGGTGGTAATGACGAAACAAGAAAGGCAATATCCGGAATAGATAATGCCCGAGAAGGAGAGAGATATAAAGAACAGAGCGTATACCACCTATGCAAGTGGATACGGGCTGCTGTGTAATGCAGCGAAGTACGAACAAATAGCTGATGGTACGGAATATCAGTGCGTAGAAGAAGGGCACTTTCATTAAAGGTCCCATCAGGAAAAGGATCTGAAGAATACAATAAATTATAGCCTGAGATGGGAGGAGATAACAGCAGAGTGTAATTTTGGTTCCTGTAAGCAAACACCAACAGGGGAAAACTGGGAAAGTAACATCTGAAGCTCACCCCGATTACCCCTGAGGCCGCGTATATTTCACTGTAAATAGGCCATGATTGGCAATGATAAAGATACCTGAAATCCGCAGGTTAAGGGTTCCTATGGACTAGAGGGGTTAGAAAAGTCCACATGCGGAGGCAGTGGAAAACGTTCAAGCAGCGAAGGAACGGTGCGCTGTGAAGAAAGGAGTTGCGCAGATGGAGTAGAGGAGAGAGAAGGAGGCGGGAGGGTGGATCAGTGTCCATTGATGGTTTGGTCTCTGCAACATATTCAGAGATTGCTTCAAGTGTTTCAGAATTCAGAGACGTCGTATGGGAGACAATATTGGAAATGGTAGGGGGAGGATGAGTAAAGATTGGAACTGTAATGGACTGTACCAAGGTAGGGGGGACGAAGGGTGGAGGGAACTGGAGAAGCGTGGAAGGGGACAGAAGAGGTAGAAACCTGGGAGGTGGCCGAAGAGGAAGAAACTTGGGAGGGAACAGGGGAGGAAGGTACAGTACGAGGAGGAGGGTGAACCTCTACACTTGTAACAGAGCCAGTGAGAGGGGGAGAACCAGGTACAGAGACACGGAAGGGAAAATGAGGAGGTGGAAGATGGGTAGGAGGTGTTAACGGACCTTTTTTTGACTTTTGAGAAGTAGAGGGACGATTGGGAGGAGGTGTCATACGAGATCTCGTCGCTACTGAGGCTTGTGAGAGAGAACACGAAGAAGCAAGATCAGACTGAGACGTTGAAGTAGGGACGTCTGAGCCGAGGACAGCAAAAGAATTAGCTACAGGAGTGACTATGGGAGAGGTAACCACAGAGGTGGGTGCAGAAGATGGGATACCAGAAGTGGGGGGACGTTTTGAAACACGGGAATAAGAAACACGAGGTAGTCTCCCTTGGAGGTGGAGATGAGAAACTGCCATGGCATAAGGGAGACCTTCTGCCTCTTTGAGGTAATGGATTTCCCGCTCGTTTAAGTAGACTTGACAACGGCGAGAGTACGAAGGGTGAGCCTCATGACAATTAAGGCAAGAGGGAGGTCGATTGCAAGACGTATTAGAATGGTCATCGGCACCACAGACTGGGCATTCGGCGATAGATCTGCAATATTTTGCTGGATGGCCAAATCGGCAGCAATTTCTACACTGTTGCGGTGTAGGGATCACCTTTCGATCTTGTAACCGATGTCCTGCTACATAAACTGAGGATGGGAGTTCACGGCTGTCAAAAGTTAAACGAGCCACATTGCTAGGGTATCGTCTCCACCTGCGGGCAGGAAGAACGTAAGTGTCTACCTTGAGGATTGGGAGATCTTGGAGTTCTAGCTGTTCAAGAATGTCAGTGCCACATGTCTGGAAATTTTGTTGAACTATGGTATGGGGCAGAATGATGGTACCACTACAAGAATTGAGGGAATGATGCTTTTCAATAGTTACAGGAACAGTATCGATATGGGAAAGACGAGAAAGCTCATGAGCCTGGGTAGCATTCTGTACGGTGATGATGAGCGTACCGCTCTTAAGAGAATGAAAAGAAATATCTTTACCAACATGGCATAGGAGTGCCTTGCCAATACTGTGGTCAGAAAGATAGGTAGTAGAGGAAGTCAGTCGTAAAGTGAAGAATTTAGTCCATTGTGCAGTCTGAAACTGAGCGTGGAAAGGTAGTGAAGGACGTGTCAATCTTTTCTGAGAAGAACGAGAAGGTGGAGAAGTATCATCAGCAGGTAATTGTCGTTGTCGTTTAGGCGTGGGACCAGAGTTGGTCCAACGTGGAACGGGCCGGCGATTCGAAAATTGCCGCACCATAGAGGGAGAGGCCGGAAGCATAGTCAGAGGAGAGCGAAGGTCAGATAAATCAAAGGAGTCAGTTGAGGCCTCTCCAAAGCGGGTGAGGAAAAGCCCCGGCAAGAGGTACAGAGGCATGGGAGTTCCGAAGAGTGGTCCAAAGACGGACGAGGTTTCAAACGGGGTGGGGTATCAAAAAGGGGGCCCCGGGGGGTAGCAGGTTCATGGACAGGGTGCCATGGTTGGGTTACTTCTTTCTTTTTTTTTTTAAGAAAAAAAAAAAAAAGAAAAAAAAGAAAAAAAAAATAAAAAAAAAGAATAAAAAAAGGGGGGCCCAGGGAGGGATATTTCCTAGGAGGAATAAAAGGGGCCCAGAAACCCCCTCCACCCCCAAGAGGCCCTCACACCGCAAGTAGCGCAATGCAGCATGGAACCCTGCAATACCCTACCCATCATCCCAGAAAACCCGGGAACCCGGGATAGCACCTCACTCTGCCGGCTTTCCTCGGTGGAAAAAAGAGGGGGCGGCCGGAAATCCCCCAAAAAAGATCCCTCCTTGGCCCACCCCCCCCGGAATCCGAAAGGTGGTTTCCCAGAGATACACCCGTCGCCCGAAAAACACCAAAGCCCCCCTCCGGGATCCGGACGGGATCGGACCCCCCGGGAAATCCGATTCCCGGCAAACACGCCCCGCCAAAACCCAACGGAATGGGAGGACCCCGGTCCCCTTTCCCCACTAGGAACTAGTGTTCCTGTGGAAAAAAAAAAAAAAGGCCAAAAAGGAAGGAAAAAAGGGAGGGTGGGGAGGAGGAAGAGAAAAGGGAAAAAGGGGAGGAGGGGAGGATGGGATAGGAAACGGGGGTTTGGGGGGGGTAATTAGGTTGGGTCTGAGGAAGTAGCCCGACGGGTCTAATCCTCAGACCAAGACCCTTCCCACCCCAAGGCCCCCCCTTAAAGAGGTTACGAAATGTTTTTAGGGAAATCTTATAGAAACTTTTGTGGGTTTTTAAAGATTTTTTTCCCTCAGAAAACCCTTTTAACAAAAAGGGTTCAATTAACCCTTTTTCACGTCGAGACCCCTGCTCACAAGCTTGCTCTCAGTTTTAAAGAATTTAAAAAAAAAAATTTTTTCTATAAAAACAATATAAGAATCTTTCCCCGTGTTAAAAAACCAAAAAGTTGAATTGATGGAAACTTAAAAATTATCTCCTGAAAAGTTAGGGGGTCTTGGTAATATTCCGCAGGTGACTTCATAGATATTTCCCTAGCATTTGTTTTTTTCAAGGACGAGTACATAAAACCCGTCCATTTACCTATTTCAACTACCCCATAAAGTGATAAAAAATGGAAATTTGGCCAATTTCATAAAAAATTTAAAAAAAAACTAAATTTTTCAAAATATGGTCCAGTGTATGCTCAGTTGGGTTTTTTATATCGCGTAGTGGGAAACCATACTTTGGGCCCGGGTTTGATAGTTCCAGTATTGGCATCCACGCAGACCTGACCAACCGAGTCAGGCTACTATGCATTGGTATAGTCCTTCATAGCACTGACTCTGATTGGGTTCCAACCCAGGTAAGTCCCCTTTAGCGCTCTAATTCAGTGCTGCGTTTTTAAATTGTTGTTCATCTATAAAGTTCAAAACCTCTGCAAGAGAAATTAATTATTGGAGGATTACTAGCTTAGCAATCCCTAGAGGTGATTTCCGAAAGTAACAAATACTAGAATTGTTACCACACAAGTTTGTTATTTTTGGGAAATTATTTATGGTGTGGGGGTTTTTTTAATTTATAAGAACTCGAACATAGAATTTTTGTTCTTCGCTGTATAGTACCACATCCCTGAGAAAGGGGGGCAATTTTAACTTTTTCCTGGATACCAAGAGACTTTATAATGTATTAAATAAAAATAAGGAACATAAGGAGCCATTATTTCCCCCTTTTTACAACAAAGGTGTTGTAACTAGGCCCTACCCCTATCTCCCACAAGACGGGGAAACCCCCTAGAATTTTACATAGTATTTCGGGACCAACTTGGCTTCAAAGCCCTAATTTACAGGAGACAGGTTAAGGGTTTAATACCTAAAGGGTTATCAAAGCTAATTTTTAGAAATCACCACCCAAAGACCAGACCTCTTGATCTATTAGGCTACTGGTGCTGGCTACATACAGTTCAATGTGGGGCACTATAACCCAGGGGCTTGGGAGCTAACTTGAGATATTTATCAAGCTCCATCTTGAAGAGAGCTGGTGGCCTGTTGTTTCTCTCTTGTATGAACTCTAAAGTGTTTTGTTAAAGAACCTTTTTGGGAAAATGCCTTTAAGCACTCTGAACACTGATAAGGTTTCTCTCCTGTATGAATTCTCAAGTGTTTTGTTAAAGCACTTTTATGGGAAAATGACTTCAGGACACTCTAAACATTGATATGGTTTCTCTCCAGTATGAACCTTTTAGGTGCTTTGTTAGATATGATTTGTCTGAGAAACACTTTAGACACTCAGAACACTCTATATGGTTTCTCTCCTGTATGAACTCTCAAGTGTTTTGTTAGATCACTTTTATGGGAAAATACCTTTAGACATTCTGAACACTGATAAGGTTTCTCTCCTGTATGAACTCTCAAGTGGCGGATTAGATGTGATTTACTCAAAAAGCTTTTATGACACTCTGAACACTGATATGGTTTTTCTCCTGTATGAACTCTCAGGTGCCTTATTAGATCTTTTTTTATTGAAAAGGCCTTCAGACACTCTGAGCACTGGTGAGGTCTCTCTCCTGTATGAACCCTCATGTGCTGTGTTAGGCTTGATCTGTCTGACAAAACCTTTAGACACTCTGAACACTGATATGGTTTCTCTCCTGTATGAACTCTCTTGTGTTTTGTTAGTTGTGGGTTGTTTGAAAAAGCCATTAGACACTTCGAACACTCATATGGTTTTTCACCAGTGTGAATTCTCATATGAACTGTTAGATCGGATTTCTTTTTAAATGCCTTTAGACATTGCAAACACTGATATGGTTTTTCTCCTGTATGAACTCTCAGGTGTTGTATTAGATTTGATTTTTCTGAAAAGACTTTTAGACATTCGGAACAATGAAATGGCTTCTTTCTAATACGAACTCTCATGTGCATTAGATTTGATTTTTTTGAAAAGGTCTTTAGACACTCCGAACACTGATAAGGTTCCACTCCTGTATGTTCCCTGAAGTGGGTTATTAGTCGAGATTTGCTTAAAAACGTCCTTAGACACTCTGAACACTGATACGGTTTCACTTGTATGAACTCTTAAATGACTATTAAGTTGTGACTTGCTGGAAAAGGTCTTTAAACACTCTGAACAATGATAAGGCCTCTCTCCTGTATGAACTCTCAAGTGAGTGATTAGATTCGATTTTCTTGAAAAGCTTTTTTGACACACTATACATTGATGAGGTCTATCTCCTATATGAACTCTCAGATGTTTCATTAGATTTTTCTTTTTTGCAAAGGTTTTTAGACACTCTGAGCACTGATAAGGTCTCTCTTCTGTCTGAGCTTTCAAGAGAGAAACTCGTTGTGATTCTTCAGGAAATTTTTTAATACACTCTTGATTTAGTTTCTGTTCTGTGTGAACACTCATGTTTGTTTTATATATTTATTAAATAGTGACCAAAAGACGCACAATGTACATCAGGTGAAAAACGCCAGAAGGCAAAGACGGAACCAACTTTTTTTTTTTCAAGATTATAAGAAAAAAAATGTTAAAAGAAATAATGATAAAGACAAAATAAGTAATTTTGAAGAAATGGGCAAGATAATAAATACAACGTTCTCAGAATGCATTTAGATAATGCGACAAGTGGAATATTGCAAATTTAAACCCCAAATAGTCAGGTTAAGAATAAGCTAATGGATGCTAAAAAAAAAAGGCAACAAAAATTATAGGCCTTCAAAAAATGCCCAAGTGAACAAAGGTATTCTAAAATTAATACAACATTGACACCATAACTGTGTTTACTGAATCTACAAACAAATAATAACAAAGGTCTAGTTTATAGAGAAGGAAAAGCAGGATAATGAAACTGATGATAAACATGCAACAATAAGTCTTCAATTCATAACCCTCATGTTAATTTCTATAAATCACATTCTATAATTTACATTACATAATACAGATTGTGTATATCAATTTCCATTATGTTTCACAAGGCACATTCTGATGTGTTGTAATAATGTCTCTCATTATGACATCTTTGAGACACTTTCTAACAACATAGTCTCTCCTATGAGACTTCTCCTGGATTCTATAGTGATTTCTGTTCAGTATTTTTGCACAAAGATGTAGATCCTCATAGAGTAAATCCTACTTCAAATTTCACTTTGTACAAAAAATTTGCTCTACCAAAGGTAAAATGCATCGATTAATTATCAAGATAAATAGTCTCATAAAATTCTGTGTGAGAGCAAGAATGGAATCCTCAAACAATTTAAAAATGATAATTAAATGCCCTTTTCTGGGTGTAAATTTTGACTTATGACATCAAGATTGACTTAGAGAGAAAAGCTTATACAATGGGTATAAAATTGTGCATTTATTCAATGTTTTAATTATAGCAGTTAAGTTATTCATGTACTTTATATATCGGCAATTCTTCCATAATTGCCATCAGTGAGGTATAACAGTGACACACATACTCAGCAGGTGTCTGGATTCTCCCAGGTAAAGCTGCCCTTTATACAACTCAAGTTTTCGACAGTGTTAGTAAATTCTGACACGTAATTTGAGCTACTAACTTGAATTTTGGATATAGTGCAGATAAGAGTCTGTTATAGGAAACAATATTCACAGATTCTCACTACAGTTTAAAAAAATTTAAGCATGAATGTCTTGAATGACTTGTTTGTCCATCTTTGAAATGAATTTATAACTTGCTTTCCTGGCTAAAACAAAACATAATACTATTAATTTATTCATTAATGTTACTTCCTTAGTGCAGAAAAAATTTCATTTTTTCAACTTTTTTTCCCAAATTTTTTACTTTTCAATAATATGCAAAAAATATTCAAATGCACTACTGGAACAATAAAAACACACACAAAAAAAAAGTCAGATGAAAAAAAAATTTCATCCCAAAAAATTACAAAATCAAACTAAAAGAAACAAAAATTTTTTTTGTATATAATGCATAACTTGACTTGGATAAGTAGCAGTGTTACACTTACTTGTGGGGCTAAAGCAATATGTGACACTAAATAATCGGGCCCCATCTGAAAAAAATTTTTTTTCCCTGGTGTCTGATTTGTAAAAGCTGGTGTCCATTGAGTTTACTGATGCTTCCTTTTTATTTTCTTGTAAATTTTTAGCTTTATGTATTTTCCCCAGACCAAATGACCCCAAAAAGGATTTGGAAAAAAAAGCATTTATAATTTTAAAAATTCTTAAAGAAATTTGGGGAAAAATTATCTTGATGTTGAGAGGGGTTTTTGCGATTTTTGGATGGGTTTTTTTGCAGTGCTGAGGGGGGATTTTTGCATGTCATTTTTTAAAAGTAAAAGTCTGTTGAAATGGGTGATGATTGCATCAATATTTCAGTGTGTGAAGAAAAGGTACGCCACGGTGTAAAGGGAAATACTTTTAGATGAGTTTTAAATGCAATACACGAATCAGTAATTTCAATGAAGTGTGTTTAGTCCCAACTGGTAAAAATAATATCGCAGTATTTTGCCACTTAAATGAGTTTTTATACCCCGGATGCTGAATGTTAATTCTTTGGAAAAAGGTTTAGCTGAAAAAAAAAAGGAAAACCAAGTTTAGTGGTTTGATTGGAAGTTTATTCCCCAAAATTTTTAAATTATTCTAAACTATTTTTTGCAAAGACAATCATATTTTCATTAAACCACAGAACCCCCCCCAATTTACGAAAAATTATGTTCCGAAGGTGTTTGTATCTTAAAAATTGTTAAAAGTCATAATTTTCCCTTTTCTATTACAATTTTATTATTGTTTTTAACTTACATCATTTTATTATTGTTCTCTCTCTCACTGTTGTTCATTGAAAATTTAAAAGAAAATATGTACAGTACAGGGACCCCCGCTTAACGATCACCTCCAATGGACCCTTAGAAGTGATTTAGTATGGCGTTTGTAACCTATGTTTGGGGGTCTGAAATGGATAATCTACTTCATAATTCCTTTATGGGAACAAATTTGGTCGTTGGGACCTGAAAATCTTTGGAATGAAAAAATTCTTTTAACCCGGGGGGCCCTGATCAGTAAAATATGGTTCTTAATACAAAGCATATTTTTAAAAATAAATACGTAATAAAAAACTTTTACCTTTTAAATGGTACAATAAACTTGAGGGGATGGGAAAAGGGGGAAGATCACAGGTTGGTGGGCTCTGGGGGAGAGGGCTGTCAACCTCTACCTTTGTCATCAATGCTTCTTTATTTTTATGATGCAGAAGGTGTGCAACTTTAAATTTTGGTTTTCGGAAGCAATGCAAAAAGAAATTTAAACCCAGTCTGTTGATGTCTGAAAGTTCGTAATAAAATTTATATAGGGTAGCACGGAAAATAGGTTGCACACACTGAAACCTTCATTTAACCCTTTTAGGGGTTTTGGGGTACTAGTACGGGCCCCAAAGATTTCGAAGTTATGAAAAAAAAGAAGTTGAGTCCTGGGCCCTAACGAAAAAAAAGCTGAAGGGGGTAGGGGAGTTTCGGGGGGGGGGAAATAAAAGGGATTAAATCTGGAGTATCTGAGAGAGTTGAGCAAAAGGAAGGGGAGCAGTAAAGTTGAATGATCAGTTATGGAAAAGGGGAAAAGAGAAAGATTGTGTAAATTCAGAATTTTGTGGTTAAAATAAAGGTTTTGGGTGCGAGAAGTGGGTCATAAAAAGGTGTATACCCGGGAAGAGGAAATTTCGAGGACAAAGGATTTTGGGAGATGTTAAGTGAAAGCAGGAGCCTTTGAACCCAAATGTGAGAGTAAAAGTGGTGGGGGCCTGTCTAAAGTAGGAGGGAAAAATTTTTAGAGAGGGTGTGGGGGTAAGTTTGGGGGTCAGGGAAATATAATGGGAGCCCTTTTATTGAATTTGTATTGAAGGGGTTTAGTTTAGGTAAAAACATATTTTAAGAAAAAGAGGATAAATAAGTATACAAGTATGTGTAGGGCAAAATGACAGTAGTTTGTTGATTTGTATTGGTAGTTTAAAGACTGTTGAGTAGATTCGGGATGACATGTTTATAGAGGGCCACAGAAAATCAGATCATTTTCTGTTGTAGCTACACTGAGAGTAAAAGGTAGATGGATACAAGGAAATAGAAGCATCAGGGAAGAAGGGGAAAAGGGTTTTATAAACTAAAAGAGGAGGCAGTTAGGGTAAGATATAACAGATTGGGGGATAGATGGTAAGAGGCATAGGAAATGGGGCGAAGGGGTTTTGGGGTGGGTTTTAAAAAATGTTGTTAGGTGTTCAGCAGAAGTTTTGGTTACGGGAAAGGGGGGCAGTGGGAAAAGAGGAGCGATTGGTGGAATGAGAGTGAAGAGAGTAGTAAGGAGAAAAAGTTTGCATATGAGAAATTTTTTTAAAAATAAGTGATGAAAGGGAAGAGTATAGGAGAAAAAGAGAGGGTAAGAGAGGGTGAAGCAATGAAAAAAAGAGAAATGAGGAGTGGGTGGATGTTACAACAAAATTTTTTTGAAAAAAGAAAAATTTCGGGTGAGTTTTAAAAAGTTTAAAAAAGCCTAGAGAACAAAAGGATTTGCCAGTTAAAAATAGGGGAAAGGGGAGTTATTAAATGGAGAGTTAGAGGGATGGGAAGATGGAGGGATTTTTGAGGAATGAAAAAGTTATGAAGAAGGGAAGCTGTGATTTGTGTATGGGGGAAGGAGGGGAAAAACATCCCCGTAGGAGGAGGAAGAGCCAGTTGTGAGTGGGGGGGAATTCGTGAGGCGTAGGTAAAATGAAAAGGGGGGAAGGCAGCCGGGGTTTTGGGATAAAAATAAAAAAGTTAAAAGCAGGGGGGATATATTTTTTGGGGGTTGGGGCAAATTATTTAAAAAATAATGGAAGAGGGAAGGTACCCAGGGATTGGGGAGAGCTGCATAGTTCTTTGATAAAGCAAAGGGGATAAAAGAGAGTGCAAAAATTATAGGGGATAAGTCTGTGAGTATACTGGCAAAGTGATGGTAGAGTTATTATTGAAGATTAAGAGTAAGACGGGATAGGATAGTAGTGAACAAGGAGGCTTTATGGACAGGTAGGGGGTGTGTGGACCAGGTGTTTACAGTGAAACATATAAGTGAACAGTATTTAGATAAGGCTATAGAGGTCTTTGTGGCATTTATGGATTTGGAAAAGGTGTATGACAGGGTGGATAGGGGGGCAATGTGGCAGATGTTGCAGGTGTATGGTGTAGGAGGTAGGTTACTGAAAGCAGTGAAGAGTTTTTATGAGGATAGTGAGGCTCAAGTTAGAGTATGTAGGAAAGAGGGAAATTATTTCCCAGTAAAAGTAGGCCTTAGACAAGGATGTGTGATGTCACCGTGGATGTTTAATATATTTATAGATGGGGTTGTAAGAGAAGTAAATGCGAGGGTCTTGGCAAAAGGCGTGGAGTTAAAAGATAAAGAATCACACAAAGTGGGAGTTGTCACAGTTGCTCTTTGCTGATGACACTGTGCTCTTGGAGATTCTGATAGAGAAGTTGCAGAGATTGGTGGATGAATTTGGTAGGGTGTGCAAAAGAAGAAAATTGAAAGTGAATACAGGAAAGAGTAAGGTTATGAGGATAACAAAAATATTAGGTGATGAAAGATTGGATATCAGATTGGAGGGAGAGAGTATGGAGGAGGTGAATGTATTCAGATATTTGGGAGTGGAGTGTCAGCGGATGGGTCTATGAAAGATGAGGTGAATCATAGAATTGATGAGGGGAAAAGGGTGAGTGGTGCACTTAGGAG